CTGACTGTCACTGCTGAGCCTGCAGCATCAGCACCCTAGAGGATAGGTAGCAAGCAAGCTCAGAGAGGAAAGCGAACTTCCCCAAAACTGGGTGGGGAAAAGGGTGGAGAAAGAAGAGGAGTGTAAGTGTCCATAAGGAGAAGGCAAGAAATTCACAAAAGACAGGGCAGGGAGGGAAGGTGGTCATAGTGGGAATGCACATGCACAGAAAGGTAAGTTAATGGACAGACTGACTGACAAGGTAATTCAGCCCTTGTCACCCAATGAATTTGACACCCCTATTTTAAACTAACTGATCAGGGACAACATAGAACTACTGCAGAGGAAAAGTATGGACGGTCTTAGCATATGCGCAATGTGCCTCAGGTGGCACATGACCAAGGATTCATCACCAAATTTGATCCACTGGTTGGATCATTAGCGTCCCCAGCCTGGGCTGGGTACTGACAAGGAGTGTGACGTGAATGCTGATCCATGTCCCCCAGTATGGATAGTGAAAATTATTAACATGGACTTATACAAGGTCTCTTGTTTTTTTCCTCACCAGCATCCTTCAAAAACTTACCCATTTTTTTCCTTTCAGTATCTCCAAACTACATCTCTACCTAAAATGAAGGGGCTGGAGAGGGAAAAGTAAGTTTTTAAAATAAAATTGTGTCAAGATTGAGGCCAAAGTTTCTAAATGTGGTTGCCTAAAATTAGGCATCTACTATATGTGGTTTGATTTCTCATAGATGATGAACAGATGCAGCTCTTATTGAAGTCAATACATATTTCAATTAATTAAAACTTTTAAAGTAATAATTGCAGATTGTATTTAAAGGTGTGTGTGTGTGAGAGAGAGAGAGAGAGAGAATGAGAGAGACCAGAAAACTGGGGATGAAAGAAAAGATGCTTAATTATTTGTACTCTCATTTACAGAGATGGAATTCAGAATAGTGGCAGTAGAAGTATATGAGGAGTTTTTCTATCTCGGAATCAGAATTCATGACAGAGTAAAGTGAACTATATTATTTACAATCCAGAAAAGAATATAGCTGATAGTGAAAAGAAGTTAATCAACCTTAAAAGTATATCATCCTGCTTTTTTCTAATGTTATAATAAGTGCCATAAAAATGCATGTATTATAATAGTTGCAGCAGCAAAACAACTAACCAAAAATAATGTAATTTCTTTTGGCTGATCAAAGATCATCAGAAGAAATAAGTCATATCTATAAAAATTATGCACACTTGAGACCACATTTCTAAAGATTGGAATCTAAATTGTGCCTGCAACTATATTTTCACACCTAAATATTTACAGTGCTTCATTAATCTACCCATAAATAATTTCAGATGGCTAGTTTATTGCCTAGACAGTGACAGACTGCCCAAAGTTTTTCTTGTTAGAAGAAATTTCCAAAATTAAAATGATCATATAATTTGTTTTATAATAATTTTAACCACTATTAAGTATGATGTCAATTTAAAACTCATGATGCTAACTTCTGCACCTCAAGTATACTTGTGTTGCAAAGAGCAGAATCTGTCTCAGAACCTGTGTTTATAGAAATAACTAGAATGTACATAGTTTCCAGCACCTAACATTTTTCAGATTTGTCTCTGTAGCTAAGATCCTGATATTGCTAACTCCCATCATTCAAACAATCCTGAGACTTTTAAAAATAATAAAATGTTGAGTTCTTTTTTTATCTGACTTCTGGGTTTTAAGCTTTTCATGTTTTCAAGCTTTTCTCCACAACCACAAGGGCTAGAAGCTAAGTTTTTTTAATGAAAACTGAGATTCTCACACGTTCACATAACTCCTGGAGCTGGCCTGGGACTTTAAGAAAAACACCAGTTATTGTGAGACTTGATAAAATCTTGAGTTGGAAAAACTAAAGCCATGCTTATATAGAGTAGAGAACCAAATTAACTTGAAGGGGTTTTTTGTACTGTAACTTGTTATTAAACTCATATGTATACATTGTATAGGATTACCAAACAAACATGTCAGAGTCTACTGTAACTACAATGTATGTGATGTCTGTGATACGTTGTATAACAAGAGATCCTCACAAGTTGTGTCATGTTATCACTGTGCAGTAAACTGACACATATCATCTTCCAATGGAGATCGAGTGATTTCAAACGCTATTGAAAAATGTTGGGAAGGGGATATAAAACCTGCTTTTAGCAGGACAACACAAAGGTGTATTTCTCTTGTTCAGAGCACAACAGAGCTTGTCAAGTCACTCTATACAAAAATAAATAAATATATACATTTAATAAATGATTAGATGTAGTTCTTACACAAGACAGTAACATTCTCTACACTGCAGTCTGAGCTTAACTCAAGAGTCCTAGGCTGAATCAGAAGGCCATCAACAGAGAAACACACTGCAGTGGATTTCGGTAACAGTCTAAAAATTACAACATGCTTATTCACCTTTGGACCAAACATTCTATGCTGTAGTCACACTGGCTGCCTTCAAGGAGCTTTACAGAAGAGTATTACAATGCAAGTTTAATATGGGTACAATATGAGTAAATACAGGTACTAAAAATAAAAGTCCCTAATTTTACTGGGACTCCCTTCAGCTGGGGTAACATTAAGGCATGGACATTCCCTAGAACCGAGTTTTTCAAATATATCATACCATTCTTCCTCAAGCAGTATAGCTAATAAACACTTTTATATCACCTAACATGATTAGAGCATTGTACACATATTTGACTAACAACTTCTCACAGCATCTGTCAAGCATGTAAGAAGAGAGAGTTGGACTCCCCTACAATACAACTGAGCTGAGCAGGTGGATCCCACCAGTCACACAAGAGTCCCATTCACTTCACTGGAGCCCCACATGAATGCAGGGGTATACCTGTGCAGAACAAGTTGCAAAATCAGGGTGTTAGACCTCACCTACCAGCGATGACCATTTTTTTTCTAATTGGGGACAGGACAAAGAGAAAGGACATGGCCTTTATTGGTCTGTTTTGGAAATTGTGGGTTTATTTGTTTAACACGTGGACAGGGATATCTGCTAAGTTCTTTCACTGGGTGACTTCTGCTCAGTTACTGTTGCCAACTCTTTTGCTTTGGGCTCAGTAAATGAGAATTCATCTGTCTATTGAATATGCAGTACTAGATTTTGATTTTTTTCAAACAAGTTAAAACATTTTCCTTCATACACTTGTTTCCCTACACCTGTTTTGGCCTTCCTGGAAGAGGACAACGCCTCGCCATAACTAGGAGACTAGACTTACAATTTGACATACTATACCTTCAGGCAGTCAACTAAATCATAACAAGCATTCTTCCTGTGACTCTAACTAACCCAGTTAGATCAGGCCAATTTCACCCTGTTAATTCTCACTGTATTCATTTAATCTAGAGATGAGCACATACAAATTTCCAAACAAAAAATCCTTGTTCAATAGAGGACTACAATCCAAAACCTATAATCCATCATTACATGACAAATATTTATAGCAGTGTAGGTGAGCAAACACCAACTAAGCAAGGGTTTTTATGTAATCATTCCGTGCAGTCCGTGCACACACCTTCAAATGGAAGGGGAACTAGAAGGATAAAAGGAAAAGAACAGAGTGAGCTTTTAAAATTCATTTCAACTAGGAAATGAACTCCAAATATATTTCTCCTTTAACTGGTTAATTCTTAGGCCAAAGAAGAATTGAGCCATTTGGTGTCAAGCACTGAGACATGGTCTGGGATTAATAGTTCTGGCTGGAATTTATAATAACCTATTTCTAGGGTCGACTTAAATCAATCTTCATTCACCCTTCTCCAATCCCACTCTTAGTGCCTTTTTCTCTCCTTTGGATTTAATGCATTTTGTTCTTGTCTTCCCCCCGTTTTATTTGTGTCAGTCTCTCTCCTCCCTACTTCTTGCTTCTCTTGTCCCTCCTTTTCGGAAGCCTTTTATGATCCACTTGCCTCCCCCTGCAACAGGCCACGCATTGCAGCAGCCCTCCCATATGGGGTTGACATAGCTTCCTCTGGAGTCCATTGATAGAGCTCCTTTGTTCAGCTGAAAGTTGTCGTTAGAGAAACAAAGCATTGTTGCTACCCCAATATCATGAAGGGAGCAAGAAACCAAACTTGGTCCTGAATATGAGGCTTCACTAGACCATCCCCTTCTTCTGTCCTTGTGTCCCTTTCCTGTTTAAGAGTCTAATTCTCCTCTTTAGTCCTACATTCGTAAGATGTTACTTGTGCAGCTGCCTACTGATAGTGACAAGAGCGGCAATAGCAAAGTAAAACTGATGCAAGCCTAGTTGGTTTTGCTCTGTGGTTCTCCTGGAAACCACAAATACATCCCTCCATTTTTGGGGAAAGCACAAATACATCCCTCTAAAATAATTGGGGTAGGTGGTGGCGGGGGGGAGAAACATAGGATTCTTAAGACATCATGTCAATGTTAAACTCTTGTAGCCCTCTAACAATCTCCAGCTTTATTTCATGCGGTGCTGTAGCATGCAATCTAGGCGTGATCGCACCCACCATTCATCAAACACTGAAAACTGAAGCTTGCCTATAGGGTAAGGTAAGTAACTCCAGGTTTTCTCCCCAAATACTGTATTGTTTCCCATATATTTCTTTGCAGTATACTTGCCTCCTGTTCCACAGGGTTAAAAAAATAAGAATAATGAAAACTTTAGGAAACCACATTGGGGAGGGGAGGCAAGAACTCAGATTATTTTACCCTAGGGATTCTCAACCTTTTTTCATAATGTGACACCTAAATTCAATCCTCCTGTAATGCACCTCAGAACAGATGTTTCAAAGGTGGCAACGAGGACCTTGGAACAAGTGGGGAGGAGGGGCATTCCTAGCATCCGAGAATGAGTGGTTGCAAGTGACTTATCAAACCGACTTCAGCATAAGACTGGAGACATTGAATGGGAGCAGACTCACAACCCTCACCCCCTTGGACAACTGCTTGTGACCCCCAAGGGAATCATGAGTCACAGGTTGAGAACCACTGCCTTACCCTATAGGCAGGCTCCATTCTCCAGTGCTGATGAATGGTGGGTGTGACATCACCTGCAAAGGGCATGCTGGGGCACCACATGGAAGGAAGCTGGCAACTGCATGTAACTGTTCTTGCAGAACCTGAAAACAAGGGGGGAAAACATAAACTACAACAACAAAGGGTGTTGAAATGTGTTCTTACCCTATTTATTTTGGGCATTTATAACCTACCCCATAAATTGCTTTCTTTTGCAGCAAGTCCATTAAAACCTTTGAGCCCTTAAACTATAACCAAACAAATCTTAAAAATCCAAAGGCAATGTGGTCTAATAAGCAAACCCCAAAGTCTGTAGAGTCAAAATGAAAACCATATTCAAATGTGTAAAGAAATCTTCCTGTCATATCTTATTGGGGCTGAAAACAGCAAGACCCAACACAAACTGAAATGAAACATTAATATTTTAAATTTATTTTTCTAAACGTTTAGACTATCCTTGGGGAGGGGGGGTTAAGTGTTTCAAAAATATAATAGAAACATCTTGGGCTAAAGCCAGTTCTCCTTTACTGTATATCCCTTACAATACCCATCAGCACAGATTCTGATCCTGTGGCCATTTTCAAAAATGGGTGCCTAAGGCTAGGCTCCTAAGTCCACAGTTATGAGCCTAAATAAGTGGCTTGATTTTCAAAACAGATGAGCACCAACTGCTCCTACTGACTTCAGTAGGAGTCTTTGGGTGCTCAGTGGCTTTTAAAATCAGGCCACTTATTTTGGAGCCTCAGTATGGATTTAGGAACCTACTTTTAGGAATCCAGTTTTAGAAATATTGGCTCAAGTGTTTAATTGGGGCCACAAACTGCAAACTTGTCAGCCTGCTTAAGTGTCACGTACAAAGGATGAGACCTTCCACTGTTCTGAACTTCCCATACCTAGATGCAGCAGGGTGGTTGGACAGCTGAGCTCTGAACGCTCCCTTCTTGGGGAGACAGAATGAATGTCTACATTCAATGCAAGGAGTCAGTAGAAGCTCTTCAAGCCATCGACTGCCCTGTTTTGAATTAAATCTCCTGCTTATCTTTACATGGCCTTCACCCACTTCCAGATCTCACCAGCCTCCAGCGAGGGGATTAGACAAGAATAGCCATAACTTTACTCCCCGGTGCACCTGGAAAGGAGTCTCCTCCCCTCCCCTTCCCTCCACCCATTCTGATGTTGCACCATTGAGGGTTGTTGAGTTGTGTCCCCCGCCCCTGAAGCCAGCCTGCAGGTCAGCAAGTACTTACCATATTACAGATGGAGGCGATGTTTCTGACAGTCATTAGTCTAAAGGTTGCAGTGATCCCACACCGCCATCTTTATAAGGTAAAAACAGACATGCTCATGGTTGGAAGATCGCGGGGAGGGGAGGAGGAGGAGGGTCCGAGGTTATGCTGGGGGGCTGGGAGAAAAGTCGGCGGAGGGGGGTAAACAGCCACTAAATCCCCCTCTGCAGCAGGAGGCAACTAGCAGAAAGCGCCTCGACTCCTCCCGCTCCTGCCTCAAAGCCCAAGAGCCGCCGGCGGGCGGCGGCTGCTCCTCGGAAGGGCTGACCAGCAGATTTAACAGCGCTGCACTGGCAGCTGCAGCAGCATCCCTCCCGCCTCTCTCCGCTCGCTCCCCCTTTACTGCATGGGGAGATCAGCCGCGCCGCTGTGCCAGCCAGGGCCGTGTTAATCTCCCCCTTCCTCCGCCTTCCCTGGCGGCCGCTCTTGCTGCTCTTCGCTCCATTGCAGCGCAGCGCCCGGTGATCAACTTTGACAGCGCCGGGGAAGGGCAGGTCAGCGCTGGTAATTGGCGTGCACCGGCACCAACCGGCAGCGCTTGTCCCGCGGAGGCTGCTGGTGCCGCAGCCAATGCGGTGCATGGGAGGAGAAGGCGATCGCTCCCCGCTCCCTTCTCGGCTACCCCCGCCGGTTGTGTGCTGGGTGTCCGGGGGTCAGGTGGGGCTTCCGGGCGTTCTGCACGCCACAGGCTGAAGGGGGCCTGAGCCCAGATCCATAGGTGCTGGAACGAGGGGTGCTGCAGCACCCCCTGCTTGAAGGGGTTTCCATCACATACAGGATTTACAGTTTGGTTCAATGACTCACAGCAACCCCACTATACAAACTGTTCCAGCGCCCCTGCCCAGATCCTTTAGTTCTGACAAATGCAAAACAAAACTCCCCCTGGATTCAAAGGGACCAAAAGATCTGGCTGGGAGCCCCATGAAAGGGAAGAGCGCCCCAGTCCCCATTTGTATCTATGAGGTAACAACATAAAAGCACAAGGCAGATCTGCTGAGGGGCGTTAGTTGGGGAAAGGTCGTTTGTTTTTAGATTTATTTGCTGCTTCAGTTGAGTTGTCTGTGATGTGTGCTAAGAGAAATAAAAATGTTATTAAAGCTAATGTTAAAAAAACATATGTAATACATAGGTTGGGAAAAGAGTGTCTGTACATCTGGGTATAATGCTTAGATTATCTACAAATATAAAATTAGTTTTTAAAAGTCATACGATACATAGAGTACATAATCAGCAATAATGCAACTTTAGGTGAATAGATTTAACAATACAGTGTAGATATTAGAATCTGAATACTCTGGTACATCACTCATGAAAAGTTGTACAGAGATTTGGTTGTGGAAAGCAAAATATATCAATGAGTGGAGATTGTCCCTCAGTAATTGAGAATTAGGTTGGCTGTCTATTTAGAAAATACAATCCAAGCCTATTTAGCTGACCTATACAGTCCACAGATATTTGTGTGAAAGACATTAATATGTACTGATGTTTTGAAGGATTAGGGAGGAAATGTACAGATTGCAATATATAGATGTATAATGATAATTATTAGGGCTGTCAATCGCAGTTAACTCACGCCATTAATGCAAAAATATTAATCGCAGTTTTAATCGCACTGCTAAACAATAGAATACCAGTTGAAATGTATTACATATTTTTGGATGTTTTCTACATTTTTAAATATATTGATTTCAATTGCAACACAGAATGCAAAGTGTACAGTGCTCACTTTATATTATTATTTTTATTGCAAATATTTGCACTGTAAGAATTATAAACAAAAGAAATAGTATTTTTCAATTCACCTCATACAATACCGTAATGCAATCTCTTTATCATGAAAGTGCAATATACAAATGTAGATTTTTTTTTGTTACATAACTGCACTCAAAAACAAAACAATGTAAAACTTTAGAGCCTACAAGTCCACTCAGTCCTCCCTCTTGTTCAGCCAATCGCTAAGCCAAACAAGTTTGTTTACATTTATGGGAGATAATGCTGCTGACTTCTTATTTACAATGTCACCTAAAAGTGAGAACAGGCATTCACAGGGCACTTTCATAGCCAGCATTGCAAGGTATTTACATGCCAGATATGCTAAACATCCGTATGCCCCTTCATGCTTCGGCCACCATTCCAGAGCACATGCTTCCATGCTGATGATGCTCATTAAAAAAAGAATGCATTAATTAAATTTGTGACTGAACTCCTTGGGGGGAGAATAGTATATCTTCTGTTCTGTTTTACCCGCATTCTGCCATATATTTCATGTTATAGCAGTCTCGGATGATGACCCAGCACAGGTAGTTCGTTTTAAGAACACTTTAATTGCAGATTTCACAAAACGCAAAGAAGGTACCAATGTGAGATTTCTAAAGATAGCTACAGCACTCGACACAAGGTTTCCGAATCTGAAGTGCCTTCCATAATCTGAGAGGGATGAGGTGTGGCGCATGCTTTCAGAAGTTTTAAAAGAGCAACACTCCAATGTGGAAACTACAGAACCTGAACCACCAAAAAAGAAAATCAACCTCTCTGCTGGTGGCGTCTGACTCAGATGATGAAAGTGAACATGCGTCGGTCTGCACTGCTTTGAATCGTTATCGAGCAGAGCCCCTCATTAGCATGGATGTATGTCCTCTAGAATGGTGGTTGAAGCATGAAGGGACATATGAATCTTTAACGCATCTGGCATATAAATATCTTGCAATGCAGGCTACAACAATGCCATGTGAACACCCGTTCTCAGTTTCAGGTGACATTGTAAACAAAGCGGGCAGCATTATCTCCTGCAAATGTAAACAGACTTGTTTGAGTGACTGACTGAACAAGAAGTAGGACTGAGTAGACTTGTAAGCTCTAATGTTTTACATTGTTTTATTTTTGAATGTAGGTTTTTTTGTACATAATTCTATATACAATGCACAGTCAACCTGTGGAACTCCTTGCCAGAGGATATTGTGAAGGCCAAGACCATAATAGGGTTCAAAAAAGAACTAGATAAATTCATGGAGGATAGGTCCATCAATGGCTATTAGCCAGGATGGGCAGGAATGGTGTCCCTAGCCTCTGTTTCCCAGAAGCTGGGAATGAGCAACAGGGGATGGATCACTTAATGATTATCTGTTCTGTTCATTCCCTCTGAGGCACCTGGCACTGGCCACTGTTGGAAGAATAAGTTCAACTTTCATGATAAAGAGATTGTATTACAGTAATTGTATGAGGTGAATTGAAAAATACCATTTCTTTTGTTTTTTATAGCACAAATATTTGTAATGAAAAATAAATATAAAATGAGCACTGTACACTTTGTGTTCTGTGCTGTAACTGAAATCAATATATTTGAAAAAGTAGAAAACATCCAAAAATATTTAAATAAATGGTATTCTATTATTGTTTAACAGTGCAATTAATCGTGATTAATTTTTTTAATCGTGCGATTTATCGCGATCGATTTTTTAAATCTCTTGAAAGCCCTAATAATTATACATTCATTATACTATTTTTATAACATTTACGTTTACAAATTTTAACATTTGGTGAGCATGTATGTATACACACATTCATATATATGTGAGTACTAATATACAGACTCACATGCTTTATAGCACCTTCTATCCAAGGATCTCAGATCACTTTACAAGCATGAATAAATTAAGGCTCACAACACGCTGTGAGGGAGATTAGCACTGGTATAACAACATTGCAGATGAGATAATAGGTACAGGATGCTAAATTACTTGCCTAAGTCCACACATTAAGTCTGTAGGAGAAGCAAGAATGGAATTCAGTTATACAGACTCCACATCTTGGGCTTTAACTCTGATAGTCCTTCCTCTCCATTTTTTAAATTAACACACATTGTATAAACTATCACCAGAAACTTATTGCCAACTTATTGTTCCTCCTCTCTGTCGAGGGAGTGGTTCAAATGAAGAAAGAGACCTTTAAAAAAGAAACCATACACTGCAAACATCACTGTGCAGATGTGAGGACATGTTTTTTCCTTTGACCTCATCCTCAATGATAAATAAATAAAAATCAGGAAGTTAAATATGGCAAATTTGTACTTGGGTGCCTTTTCGACCACAGCTTGATACTGGAGTATCGCACCTTCAATCTGTAGAGGCCTAAACCCTGCAGACCTTGCTTAGGCAAAACACCCTGAAGTCAAAAGGAGTTTTTCCAGATCTTGCTTTGCAAGCATAGCAAGATCAGACCTTAGATCATTACAGTACAGACCTGTTTACGCGCGACCCATTTACGTGCGAATCCGTTTAATGCACGGTAGTGCCATGCCTCCCAGTGCTACCTATTTAACACGCGAGACTCGTTAACACATGGTACAGGAACTTGCTATGTAGCGCTACAGATTTGCTCACTAACTCACTGACATAGAAATCGACAGGAAGTGGAGATCGGAAACGTGTTGTACATCTTTACCGCCAATGGGGGGGAGGGGGGAGAAGGGGGCAGCAACGTTAAAGCACTGCCGTGGCAAAGAACCCTGCAGCGCTTTAAGGTCCCTGCCTCTTCCCTCCCCCAGCCACCGATGGGCGGGGGGGGGGCAAAGGGAGCAGCTGCCCCAGGGCCAGCAATTTAAAAGGGCCCGGGGCTCTGGACGCCGCTACCGCAGCAGCGGCGTCCAGAGCCCCGGGGACTTTAAATCACGGGAACCCCGGGCGGCACGGACCAGGTGGCCTGGAAGGGCTGGCTGGGGGATGCTGACCCCTAGCCCCACCCCTTCTGGCCGAGGCCCCGCCCCTTCCGGGGGCCAGAGCTGCCTCCACCCCATAAGTGTCCTGAGTTACTTTTACCCTTGTGTACTAATAATAATGTTTTTATTAGATTACGTATTTGAATTTATATTCTTGCAAAGCGCCATTAACAGATAGGCCTGCAGTATTTGGGATGTTGTGAATACATATGTAATCCTAGATAATTATAAATGTATATATAGATATCTTAAGATATTTCAGCATGGCCCTCTTAACCCGCAGTCCGTTAACCCGCGGTCGTGATGGCTTGACTCCCGACATCCGCGCGTAAATGGGTCTGTACTGTAATTAAAATCTGACACCAGTCAATAGTGACTGAAAGATGAAATCTTGCCATCAGAATGCCGTTAATTGGCCTAAGTAAAATAAGTTGTTGGCCTTAGTCTAGTTCCTAGTGGACAGGGCCCACATTACAAATGTCACCATCAAAACTGGCACAAATTGGCAGTCTTAGCCCAGGCCAAGGATTGAGTTATTGTGGAGACAGAATTACCTTTCATCCGTGAGCGTGAGGAAACCTGCACTTCTAATGTCCACTCTGT